ATTTATAGTCTTCTCCACTGTATTAGCTCACAAGTTGTTACTCTCATGGTTTTGTGCACTTGTAGGGCATATCGAGGTCCGAAATATTTAACCTTTCCAATGTTAGGCTTTAATGCATTACATTTACAAAGAATACAATAGTAAAGGGTAAATATATTGACATATGTTATATATTAGTATATATTGGCATGATATATACTTGTACATGTACTGGCATATACTGGCACAACATGTTATACACTGGCATATACTGGTATAACATGTTATATACTGGCATATACTGGTATAACATGTTATATACTGGCATATACTGGTATAACATGTTATATACTGGCATATACTGGTATAACATGTTATATACTGGCATATACTGGTATAACATGTTATATACTGGCATATACTGGTATAACATCTGTTATATACTGGTATCTAACGGTATAACATATATGGTATAACTCATGTTACATACCGGCATATACTGGTATAACATATCTTATATACTGGCATATACTGGTATAACATATTTTATACACTGGTATATACATATACCCCTGCAGGTGCCAGCCTTCCCATATCACTCCTCTACACTCTCACACCATCAACAACAGTAACATTGTAATGGTGTTTGTTTGTACAACTCCGGTACCTGATAAAAAGGGGGGGGGGTCAGAAACCTTTGAAGATTTTGTTTTCTCTGTGCGAGAAACGCCCGCGGGTCGGCAGCACAGTGTATACACTCGTCACCGGACCCCTTTGACCCCGTATAGCGGACGGCAGCTGGTTGATGAAGGCCCGGTGACAGATGGTCCTGGTATCGACCGAGCGTACTCGCGTCCTCTGGATAGATCACCCTTCTACACTAACCTCTACCAGAGTAGAAATTGGCCACATATAGAGAGATAACAGGGAGTTGGTCTGCTAGAGTTTCGGGTGCGGCAAACTGTACTCTCTAGCGGACCAACTCTCTCGGCATGTTATCTCTCTCCTTGGCCAATTTCTACTTTTTCCAGCGTCATCGCCCGCAGTTGTGCCTGCAGTGTAGATCTAGACTATTATCGGGAACATGTGGGCCGTTTTGTCCCATTCGTTATGCAACATTTGCTCCATAGATAAAGGGACCTGTAAAATTTACGACTTCAGTTCGGTTACATATTAACCTTTATGCGTCCCGCAGAAACCACGACCATGTATTGTACATGTTACGTGACGGAAAGAGCTGCTCTGTCTATTTTCAGAAAAACTGACGATACAGAGAAAGTTTCTTCTTAAGTCCTATAATAGATAAAGGATCTTAAAGACGTCAGGTCGTTTTTGAATTTTAGACATAAAACCAGAAAGACTGTAAAGAATGGCTGCGCAGAATAAAGAGAAGAAACATCTTGCAGCTGCCGCGAGGACTTTTAATCCTTTCGGCCTTCGGCCCTCTTTACAACGCGGTTGAGAACCTTTGAACTGACGCATCAATAACATCTATTGACCAGCAGCAAAATGTTGGGACTATCACAGAAACACACATGTCCGTTCTTAGAAATCGTTCATTCACTCTATGGTTTGTGTGCGGCACGTTGTGGTTGATCTTCAAACACAGTGTGTCGGCAGGCAAGGTCGTCACGTTTTTGTTAGAAACGGTCTTTTCATAAAGCAGTTAGTACATAACCCCTCATGGGGCCTTGCAACAAAGACAGCCAGAAAGAAAGAAGGGAAAAAAGATAAAAGAAATTAAAGGAAGAAAGAAAGAAAGAAAAAAGGAAAGAAAGAATAAGATGGAAAGAAAAAAGCAAGAAAGAAAAAAGCAAGAATGAAAGAAAGATACCTTTACGTTACATCTACGTATACCACCTTTTGACGGTCCAGTTTCTTTCATATCTTACTGCCAACATAAATATTCTTTCTGATGATTTTGTTGAAGCCTTCACTGTCGCGAAACCTCAATCGTTTGCGGTAGAGAATCTACATTCTTTGTTGGTTTGTATACTAGCATATCAAAGCGGTCACAGGTGGCACTTTTACTTTAATTCGCCCGGGGTGAAAAAGTGAGTCTGATACCAACATGTCAGCAGGGAGAAAACATTGTGGCCCGGGTTTGTTAGCTTCAGCGGCCGGTAATGTTTTCTTTGGTCGGCAGGCTGTCCCCAGAGTTGTAGCGTCTTTCAGCGCCGAACTGATTCACAGACACCTTGAGATGCTCACATCTCGACACGATCTTCCAGAAGGACAAGAAAACCTAATTTTAAACCAGTTAACCTGTAGAAAAATCACATCTGTGGCAGTATATAATGTTGTACAAAGTTAACCCTTGGTCTCAACACTTACGTCATGTTCGTCTTATGTCATTATACGAAGTTGTAGAATTTCCAAGCAGGCTTTGACAGAACCAACCACCAACAAGGGTCTACGAGAACACAGCCTTTTCCGTAACAAGCCAGCTGAATTTTACAGGGCATGTACACGGACAATCTCAAGAACCTACGACTCATGTGATCTGGCCCTTACATTTGTACAACTTTGTTGAATCTTTAGACTTGGGTATATATATATATATATATATATATATATATATATATATATATATATATATATAGTATGTGTGTGTGTGTGTGTGTGTGTGTGTNTGT